CTTTATAGGATTAAGTACTAAATCTATTCCCTTCTCGTCTCGCCGTAATAGCAGGTATAGTACCTGCCTAAGGTCCGAAATATCTACTTCTTTTTTAAAAGAAATAGGTATTATAATACCGTTATTAAAGTAACCCAAGCTCGGTCTAAAAAGCATTATATATTAGTAGAACAGATTCCTGACTTATTACTATACTTCTGGTCCCCAGTAATCCGAGATATCTGCTATTATAATATTAGCTTCCTTTTTATTAGGAGATCTCACTAAAAAGGGAAAACTATTAGGGTATCTCTCTTTAGGTTTATTATTAGTTATTAGTAACTTGCTATTAAAGATTTCCGCTAGGTTTATAAGAACCTCTGCTTCTTTACTATTAAGGTCTAGATATTCCGCTAATATTCCGATATAGATGCCTTTTAGTAGATAAATCGGAATATTACCAAAGTTAGTATATAGTATTAGTTAAGGTATTCTATTAGTTATACTATTAACTATAGAGCCAAAGCAGTAGATTACCTTGTCCTTTTATATAACTAGCTATAGCAGGTATTCTGCTTCTTATAATAGAAGTATTCTGTATTATACTAGAAGGTTAACTTCTATTCCTGGTACTATAGTAACTGCTTCGGTAAGGTAAACCCTAGTAGCCCGGTATATTCGCCTCTCTCTAGGGGATATTAGTATAAAGATAAATATTAGGCCTCTAGTATCCCCGACTTTGAGGTAATCTGCTTTATTTTCCTTTTCCTATCTAAAATGAAATTAATGCTTTTTTAAGAATTATATCCTTAATAAGATTCTACCCGGTAAATAGTTAACTATATAGCTAACCTCTAGTAAGAAGTATACTATCTGCTTATCCGTAATAAGGCAAGACACCAGTAGGCTAACGAAGGTTTTTGTAATAGGGCTATGGCCCACTCCCGTTAGTTATAACTAGTCCTCTTACGGTAGTAGTATCTCTACTAGCTAGGGGAACTTCTTTCATAATATTAGTCTATTAATTAGGATTATGGGAGACCTGGTATTAGAATAGAATAACTGAGTTTGGCTATCTAATATATATATAATATCTCGGATATTTGTATTTAAAGTATATAATATTCCATTAATAAGGATTACTATCTTCTTTAATATTTTTCGCTTTCTTTTTAAAGCAGAGTATTTCAAGAGCTTTATTACCTTATTACTATTCTCTAATTCCGAGGCAGAAGTAGGTATTATTTCCTATAATATATATTCGGGTTCTAGACCCTCTGGGTAGGGCGAGAATATATTACTATTAATATCTGATAGTAGCTCTTTAGCTTCTTCTAGTAAGTTATCCTTAATATAAATAATATTATCTTTATCCGAGTTTATAACTATTAGTAACTAGTATACTATACTTGGTTTAGTTATTGGCCCGGCTAGAGGTTTTAGTTATATTATTAATATAACGGGTATCTCGTTATTAGAGTTATTAAGGTCTTATAGATTATTATATATTACTATATTAGTTTTTATTAGTATAGATCTGGATAATATTATAAGATTAGTAATAGTAATTTGATTTATTAGTATAGGAACTAGTAGAGCCGGGGTATATTATATCTCTATAATATAGCTAATCTTTGATTTGCTTTCCGTTCCTAAATATGTTTTCTTAATTCTCGTTATTACTAAGTATATAAAAGTACTAAAAGGTAAAGTAGCTATTAATATTAGTAGTAATAAAAGATACTAGGAGAGCGGGCTCGGCTTTTACCCTAGTAATCCGCTTGAAAGTTTCCCTCCTCTCCGGATAATAAAGAGTTAGGAGTAGTTCTATTATTAGTATCTTAATCTATTCCAATAATAAAGGTATTAGTATAATATTTACTCTAGTATTATTTATAAGTATCCCAATTAACTATAACATATTTCTTCTTTCTATTATCCGTATTAATAATAAAGATATAAACTTATTGAGGTATAAATCCGTTTCTATTATTATTATTATTCTAGTAATTACTATAGAAGCACTAGCTATTACTATTATTATTCTAGTTATTACTATTATTATTCTAGTTATTTCTATTATTATTCTAGTTATTTCCGTTATTACTCTAGTTATTTCCGTATTTATTATATTAATATTAGGAGGGGCCCGCTAAAGAAGTATTACTTGTTCCTAACTAGTTTTATAGGATACTATCTATCTACTTAATTCCTGGTAGGCAGTATATAAATAGAATTATCTCTACTTCCTCTATAACTTTCTTAAATAATACTTTTAAAGGTTCCTCTAGCTTATTATAGCTAAACTTACTAAAACGGTTATTATTAAAGTAATATATGTTTTATTAAAAGTTATCTGCCGGAATAGTATACTAAACTTGGGACTATTTAATAAGTTTTCTTATATCTTGGTTCTATTTTTTAATAATATTAAGGTATATTTAGAGTTATTTGAATTACTATCTTGCCTAGTATTCCGCAATATATACTTTAGCTTAAAAGTCATTTATTATATTATTCGTTTCTCAAAGGGGTACTACTATTATAAAAGTAAAGTCCAGGCTATTATAAATATGGCAAATAATATTATCTTGATTTGTCTTACTAGCTTCTCTATATAGTCTATATTTCCTAGAGATATATTCTCTAATATCTATCTCCGTTTTATTATTAAAGTAGTATTATATACTATCTGCTTTTACTAAGGCCTAGGAAAAATTAATATAAAAGTATTATACTAGCTAAATCTTTTACTCTTTAATTAATTCTATTATAAGAATAGTAACTTTATCTTCTAGTCCGTTAAACCAGGTTACTGCCTTGCCCTTTATATATAATAGTAGGATAGCAAGAACTAGGCAATCTTTATATATGCCTACTAGTATTATTAAGCATTTACTATAAATAATAGCGGATAGGGTATCTAGTATACTATTAAAGATACCGACTTCATTAATTCTTAGTCTTTTAACTCCATAGAATAGTATTCTATAGTTATTCTGGTATCTTTTATTCTTGCTAGAATACTAGCGGTTTCATAAGATAGTTCTAGTCTAGTATTATTTCTTATGGTATTCGAACTCCTTAAAGTAATAGTAGTAGTTATACTTATTATCCGAGAAGTCTCTATTATCGTTATTATCCGGAGGCATACTACTAATATTATATAATTAAAAGCTAGTCTTGCCTTAACCTCTAGTATTCTATTATCCGTTACTATATAGTATCTGGGAGATTCGGGATATAGCTCTGGATTATTGTCCGCCTCGTCCGGTATTCTCTCTACTATAACGAGAGATCTCCGATATAATATTAATAGCCTTATCTTTAGGAGGTTCCTTCCGGAATTATTCCAGGAAGCAGGTAAAGGCTACTACTTCCGATATTAACGAATTCTGGCTATAAATAGTCTCTAAGGCCTTTGCTCTTAGCTATTATCGGGTATTACTATCTATAACCTGTAGAAATGTCTTGGCTATAGTAATATCTCCCGTTATTAGGATATCTCCGAGATATAGAAAGCTATTATTATTAAGTTCTTTACTAATTTCTATAATTATTATAGTATCCTTTTTCTATTATACCTTAGAGTATCGGATCTCGGTACTAGATAATAATTATAATAGGTTTTATAATAGTATTAGGGATATTATATTATTAACGTTTATAAAGAAGTATTATAGTCTGGGAAGTAGTCTGCTATTATTACCTCTAATATTACGGAAAAAAGGGTATCTTGAAACGGATAGCTAGGAGTAAAGGGTATTCTATTAACCCGAGGTTCTTCTGGCTAAGATATCTGAAATAGTAAAGGTATATCGTGGTCCGTAGGGTAAAGTATATTATAGCAATACCTTGGGACTAGTATTATAGATATTGGTTTCCTTACTAGCTCGATATTCCTCTTGCTTTTCGGGCGTTTAGTAATTTAGAGTTATAAGCCTCGAGGGTATTAATTCCTGATATAGTAAGGGCCTTAATACTACTAATAACTCTGCTATTAGTAATGGCTATTATTTGGTAAAGGCTACTAATTATGATTCCGGAAATGCCAAGGTATTAATTTATTATAGAAACGTTAGATCTGAGGTAGTTCTATAATATTAATATATATCGGATATAGTCCGACGGTAATATTCTATTAGTTAGGGTAATTCTTCTTGATTTATTAGTAATATATGGGAGGGGCCGGCTATACTCTCGATTAGAACCGTTATTAGTACCATTACTATTTCGAGAATAGTATTAATATCGAGTTTTGAAGCCGTTAGCTTTATTATTACTTTGCTAGTACCCAAGTTACTAAGTATAGGAGAGAAATCGGGATCAAAAGTATATTACCCGTTAGTAGCTCGTATTCGGTTCTTGCCTTGCTTTTTAGGTATAGGAGAGGATACTAGTAGTGGGCTTACTATCTATATTATAGCTTCTGGTCATTCGTTCCTATACTTCGAGGAGAAGTTCGGTTCGATTATTGAAGTGTCTTGATTAATGGTTCGTAGTAGTGCCATTAAGCGTCATTACGTATGGACTACGAGGGACGTTCGACGGCACTGCAGTAATACATGGCGGAAGCGCTTGATCTCCTGAATCAATCGTACTACGATAGCAGATTTCAATTCGTGCTTTTACAGCCGATTTAAGGCATTGCTACCATATTGAATAACAAGAAGGAGGAGAAAGAAGATAATCAATTCTACTGCTACGAAGCTACCTAATGTGGCAGTAGCGCCACACCACAGCGCTACCACGTGACGCACGTGCCATCACAGGAATAGTGAAACCATTCGATTGTTTCCACTCTGCTGAGCATTCAAGTCTTTGAAGTGCAAATCGCGTTTTGAGTTTTTTTTCTACCGCGAACTTTGCTGGTCTGCAGTCAGCCGACAGAGAAAATGTGTTGCAATCTGCATGGAATTGAAGGAAACCGATACCCCGTAAACATAATCAAACCCTCCGAAGTCTCGAGATAATTGTTTTTCGTAACTTGCAGCTGCATATCACCCAAACCGTATCACCCGCATGAAAGCACGCCACCACATATGCATTTCATTCAGAGAAGGGAATGCCCTCAAGGCAGCAAGATTCTCAGCCTCATCCTCACCTTGAGTAATATTCTGTGATATAATACCCCGTCTCGCCACAGCAGATGTGCCTCGCAGTCAACCCAACTCCATCTCTCACAGCCGCTGTTTATCTATCAGACGTATATCCCTTGCCTTTGAACCGACCATTAGCGATGCCGGGTAGCCCGCAAGGAAATCAAGCAGGTGGCGGAGAGCCACCTGAGCGGCGAACAACATTTAGGTCTCCGACGTTTGACTCATTTCGACGTCGAGGAACCGGAACATCTACAAGATCAAATAAAGAGAGAGAGAAGTGGCCGTTTCAAGAGCATTTTTCTTGCTACGAAGGTCTGACTTGGGAGGCGTTGAGGGGATATTTGGAGAGGAAATGGCCTGGTATTAGGCTTGCTGAGCGGAGAGTATGAGTTGTTTCTTGGCTGACGTGGGAGTACTTGATACTGACGTGGTTGTCTAGGAACTGGATCAATGGCTGTTCGAGATACCTGAGCGATTGACAGATGTGCGTCGTCATTTCTAGCTAGACTTGTTGTCAACGAAGGCCGAGTACACGCTGACATTTCATGTGCCTACAGGGAGATCGAGACAACATCGCTGCTTTGAGAGACATCAATACGGGCGGTCGACGCCGACAAAGGACGCCTGAATAATGGTGTTCAACATGGTGGAGAGGCGGTGGCTTAGAGCCAACTCAGCCAAGCCACACAGGCAGACATCGTAATTATTCCACATTGCCGCAGAGCCTTGTAATCGTCATGCTGGACCAATCGAAATGTCTTAGTCTCAAATGGCATGTTCCATGTGCAAATTGTGTCACATTCCTAGTCGCCCGCGATAAGCCCTGCGTAGCCAACATGTCGCCTTGACTTCAACTTCTCAGACAGAGCCTCTGGGGCTGTAATTTTGTAGAAGCTTTATTAACCCTTCAATATTCTCCATCGAATTGTTTGGGTGGCCTTGAACAATTGTCTAGTATCTTGCAAAAGAACGTTCTGTGATCGACGATGTACTTGCCGCTGCCTGCTAATTTCCAAAAGTCGTATATCGACCGAGATTCATACCCGCGCAATCTGATCCGGAGAACCGTGAGCACGTATCCGAGTGCATTGACAGCATATGCGACAAGGCTGGATTTCGCGACTCCAAACCTGTTCGAAACGGACATCAAGAGATTGGAAGTGCCGATTCGGGATCTAAAAACCGACGACGGCAATGGAGAAGGTCTGCCCCCAAAGAAACCCATGCTAAAATTGTACACTAATAAGATGCTGTAGATTTGGATAAACTAAACATCCAATCGCCGGATGAGCTCACAAAATGGTTTGGCGTGAAGGTAGTCCACGATCCCAATGATCCCCAGAATCCAGTGGTTGCTGTACAGCGGAAAGATCCAAAATGCCGATTTGTATACATCTACGGCGCAAACTCACGAGCTCGTCTGGGAATCACTCGTTCGATGCTGCTGGAGCTCTTCACGTTCCACCAAGTGATGCCAGATTATTTGGACTTCATATCGGTCTTCGGTCTCCAGAGCGAGGCGCGAGATCTAAGATTCAGCAGCTTTCGCGAGCAGAAGAACCTCAAATTGCAGCACGGAAGCTCTGGAATCGATAGTTTGGGTCGATCAGGGAAGCATTATCAGCTATGTTACAACCTGAAGGGTGTTACTTTCAAGTTCGAAGATCCCAAGGACCACAGCAAGAACCAATGGTCAATAAGGCAGGCCGCGTTTTATCACCAACTTGATGTTGTCGGAGGCAACGCGCTCTGGATTGTGACGAAAGGCGGCTTGGATATTCAGCAGCGTTTCAAAGAACTGACGGGAAACGGTGCGAGGCCCGAGGATAAAGCCTTTGGAACACCGGACGAATGCTTTCGGTCGAGTCTGTCGGCTCATTTGCTTTTCTGTCACTGGTCGACCGAAGATTGGCGAGGGTATATAAAGTGGTTGGAATATACTATTGAAAAGGATGCAAGTCAAATTCTCTTCAACCATTAAGGACTCACAAGCTAACTCAACTTTCCAAGACGGAAATGGCGGTCTTGGGTCCAACCGGTAAAGGGCATCATCACCACATTTACACTGCAAGAGATATCCAGCACCTACAGCGATGGGCCGAGAAGGTTCGAGAGGTAACCTCCGTCCTCAAGGCAAACGTGGATGTGATGACCTCGCTTCGGCGATTCTACACCGATCTTCGAGACAACGAAGAGTTTCCCATGAGAGGGTCCTGCAGTGATGATATTGGTGTCTTTGCCAGCCAGCTGGGCAATCTGATAGACGACTTCAGACTGCAAATCGACCGTGCAGATGCACTTGTCAGAATCACGACTGACAGAATGGAACTGGTGAAACAGCATCGACTTGAAAGGCTAAACATGAACATGGAGAATGAGGCCATCATAGTGCGGATCATCACGATTGTGACTCTGATTTATCTCCCTGCAACCTTTGTGTCGACGTTCTTCAGTACAGATATTGTCAAGTATCAAGGTCAGGGACAAGAAAAGGGTAGCTTTTCGAATGTGGCGATGGTGAGATGGGTGCAGGTCACCCTACCGCTGACAGTGTTGACGATTGTATTTGCGTACATTTGGAAGAGTTTGGCGGAGAGGAGATCACAACGTGAGGTTCTGCCGATGGATGCAGAAGACCTGCATCGGCCACTGTGGATGTCGGACAAATGGAAATGGCGTCCTAGAGCAAGAAAGGCATCGTCTTCTGTGGAAAGTAAGGTGTGAAAGTAGTGGGCATTATCTTGAATTTTTAGGAGGGAGACATCTTGGAGGTTGAGGCTAGATGAAGCGTCCAAGAAGACCGGCTGCAACTGGACGAGTTGATGCCAAACTGGGGCAGGTTGCTAAGAAGAGATTTGCGTAGGTAGGGACAGTGGATCAAAAGAGGCGGACTTCAGCACAAACTGTTACCAGCGTAGTAACAGAAAGCCATAAACATAGCCACGTAAATATCTACTTAGTTTATGGGTATCGGTGTACTTGAAGTGAAGTGTGTCACTGTCGGAAGTCTCTCGACCAAGCATTCTATATAAAATGTGATCCATGCGGTCTCTGCATGGGCGGGCGGGCAAGCCAATGGCGGCCAACTGGCCTGGCACAGGCGCGCCAGCCACCACCTCAGCTCTCGGTGACTGCATCTGCGCTTTGTCTCTCAGCCTCCCCCCAGCCTCTCTGCCTGAGCAATGGCGGCCCCTCTCCCTCCCGTTTCCCGCCTTGAGCCCCATCTCCCCCGCCGGTTCTGTGAGCCTGTGGCTGCTACGGCGAGGCTCCGACTGATCTCCCAAACCTCAAATGAAAACCATCAGTTGTTCTCAACGCTTCTCGCCTCCATATTGACTATTATTTCCTCTATGTGTCTTATTTGTTATCCCTAGCATCGAGGTAACTTATCAAACTGCCTACCATCATGAGCGAGCCTCGTTCCGCCCCACAATCACCCTATCGTGAAGCTTTCCTACGCCATTTACAGCAAAAAGAGCGTCGCAACTGGGAGGACAAGATATTCTACCTTCCGAGCGACATCAGAGCATGGATGAACAAGAAGTCGCCGGGCGAGGCGGTTACGAATGTTGTGCGACTAGTCTCTTCCTTTTACGATGGCGATGGCTTCCCAAAGATAACAGCCGATAAATGCACCAAGCACCAGCTCGTTCTCGCAGTTCTCTTACATCCAGATGTCAACTGTGGACACCTGATTGACATCTTCGTGCGATGCAATCTTTCCGACAATTATCTCCTCTTGTACGCCGACCCGAAGAGCCGATACAATTCCATTGTGGAGGACTTGACGAAGGAGCGGCCGTTGCTTCCAAGGGGCTATACACAATATGACTACAAGGCTGTCATTGACGCATTCGATGAAGTTCGATGGGCCTTTTGTCCTGCCTCTCTGGAACTTCACATGGACACAGATTTTCCATCCGGGCCCTGCATCCTTCCTTTCATCCACGGAGTGGTGATCAATAAAAAGGGCGGAACTGCCAATGTGCGCCATTACAAAATCCAGGAAGATGTTGTGGAATCGAAAGAGTTGAAGAAAGCCTTAGAGTCCTCCAAGCATAAAGATCCAATTTTCGGCTTGGTACGTTTAATTCGCCTAGGCTTAATTATCTTCCACTAACCTTCCTTCAGTGTTACGAATTCGCGATCAAGTCTTATGTCGCTGGTTGGGAAGATATATATAAGTTCGAAAGCGAGGCATTTAGGGGCGTTCGTACCCAGGAGGGTGTTGTGAAGTATCTGGGAGAATACCACTTCAGGGAAGGGGGAGACACCTCACCGAACCACAACATCATTCTCGAATATGGCCAGCAAGATCTCGATGAGTACCTTGCAGACACATACCCTCCGGTTTTGAACACTGAGATCATTGCTTTCTGGGAGGATCTGTTCAAGGTGGCTGCTACCCTTAAGTCATTGCATCAATTCGAATACAAGGGCGAAGATGGGAAAATCCAATACTATAAGGGGTGAGTCCCCATATGCAAGTCATAAGCCTCACTGACGCCAATCTTACAGATGGCATGGTGACATCAAGCCTGATAACATACTTCGAGTGCGTGGGGAGTTTAAACTTGCCGACTTTGGATTCACAAAATTCGAGAAAGATGTGATTGGAAGGACGAGTACGTTCATACTTGGTGGAACGCAGACTTATGGTAAATGCAGACCTCGTGCTATCTATATGCGAAGCTAACTACCTCAATCCAGGCGCTCCAGAGTGTGATAAACAAAGATTGGGAACTATTACGCCCCATTTGCAGACAATAGACACATGGTCGTTCGGATGCGTTCTCTCAGCTGTCGCAACGTGGGTTATACTTGGCTCACAGACTTATGACAGCTATCGCCAAGTTCGAATGTTAGAAATTGCGAACCTTCGCCTACGTGCCAAAGATGGCAATGGTGGTGGTGCTCCTTCAGGGGACGACGCTTTTCATGACGGGACAAAAGTCCTGCCTTCCGTCCTTCATTGGCATGATTTCCTTCGGAACTCCTCACGGAAAGCCGACACAATATCTTACCGAGTTCTCAATCTCATTGAGGAAAGGATGCTTCTGGAAAGTCCGAGCAAGAGACTGAGCTTCGAACAGCTATGCGAAGAGTTGGAAGACATCATCTTACTTGCGAAGAATGAGCACCAAAAGTTGACAGACAGAGGAAGCCTCAAGGTGATTGAGCCAGATACATTAGAAGCTTTGTTGCAGCTAGACAAGCGCGCACCAGCTACGGCGACACCAATTGTCCAGGTGAACACAACTCAGAACGCCGGGCGAAGCTCTGGATCCCTGTCACCAGATGACCGATCTCAGCTTCGCCCAAGGTCAGAAAGAGTTAGGAAGTCAGAACGTCTCGAGCGAATAGTCATTGGAAAGACCGCGAATCGAGAGGGGGCAATTAAGATCGGCCTTGGCATTGTGAATGAGGACCTCGAAACATGCGATAGTCCTCAACAGGATCCTGCGGACGCCAGTGAAACTGTTTCGAAAGCATTCGCTTCGGCAAAGAGCTGCCAGGATTCACCAGCCTCGAGCAGCAAGGAGAAGGGGGAAGATATTCCTGTGATAAACCTCATCTACGACAGTCCAGTTGCCGCTCATGCTGGGGCCTTTCCCCCAGCCATTATGGACGCTACATCACACCCACCGAAGGATAGTCAGCAATCGTTCAAACCCAAAGACCCTCCTGGTAGTACCACGATTACAAACCCCTCCTCATCAACAGAACGAACGGCACCCCCATTGCAGAAAAATCTATCGAAAGGGAAGGGTAAGGAGGTTCTAGGCCGGAGCGGATACTTTGGTGAAGATGAAGATTTCCGCCCTCCGGTAACGCCTCCCGAAATCGACAAGGCTCCCGTAACACAAATAGCCACTGAAAGTACTGCGCGCCCTCCGCAAGCATATGGCCAACCGCCCAACGTCACTCCAAGCAAAAATCTGCCGCCAACTCCTCAAATTAGTCCCGATCCTGTTTCAGAACATGATCCACCAGTTGGACTCTCGCCCACAAGCATGCAACCTCCCTCTTATGCAATATTTGATGAACACGCACGCCTTGAGAAGCTGTGGGGAGACAAGAAGGGCCTCTTCTCATCTCTCTTAAGCAAGATCCCAGATGATCCTTGGCTCAAGAACTTCATTTCCAACCGCGACATCGTAGGTTACCCACGTAGTTTTTTTTTTGAAAGAGAGACTTACTGATCTCTATCACAGGCTTTCGTCGTCGACAATGCTGCCACCATGAAGCCGCACTGGGCCGTTGCAACGCGAGTGCTGATAACCTTAGCAATGAAGATCGGGCCCTTAGATAATGACGGCCTTGATCTTATTTACACAATCGGCACTAACTATAATCACAAGGAGGTCAAAGGATGGGCTATCCCAAAAACATTCAAAAACTCCATGCAAGGCTCGGGCGAAGAAATCAATCACATGTACAAGACGAACATGAAAGAAACGCTGGAAAAAATATTTGATAAATATACCAACACCAGCAAAAAGATGACACTTATCGTTCTCACTGACGGCCTCTGGGAGGGCTGTGCCAACAACGACGATGTTGAAAAGTTGATTGCTAGCTTCTTAACGAAGTTGAAACCCAGGCTCAAGAAGTGGGAATCTCGCTGGTTTAGTATACAATTTGTGTCCTTCGGCGAGAATAAGCCTGCGTTGGAACGGCTTCGAAAGCTCGACGACAATATGCCAACTGAGTAAGCAGTCAGAAATTTGCCCATTTATGTTCTATTTGCTAACGATTTCAAGGGAGGATGTGATCGACACGAAGCCTTGGTGGTTTCAAGATGTCAGCAAGCTCATCTTGGGAAGCATGACGGATGGAGACGACAAAGACGATCCTACTTCGCCCTTGCCAATGTCACCTTCTCCCGGTCTATCGACAGCTGCGACTTCTGCTACGTTTTCCACACCGCCTGCGCCTGAGAGAAAACCCAGCTGGAGGCGGAAGCATTTGACGGACATATTCAAATAGGAAGTTCGGGCGAGCACTTCCATGATTTCCACCTCTTTTTATTTGATTGCATATAGTAGGCGGAATTCGGGTCACAGGCTCTTTCTAATTTTGCATTTTGGTTGTTTATGAATCATGAGGATACGAAGGCACGATAGGGACACGAAGTATGGAGGCATGGAGCATGGCGTTTGGTGGTAAAAGTCGGGCGTACTTATATACGCATTTTCCTTCTAGCTTTGCATAACAATTAGAGTCCCCTTCTTGAGTTTGATCATGTCTTGGATACCGTTTCTCGGCAAACGGAAAGATATGAAGAGCTCGTGAGAGGCGAGAAGGGTTGACAGATGGATAGATCACGTGTATTGAGCAGCCAAGTCCCGTGACTTGGAACGTCACGCGCATATATGATTCTGTACAGGAGCTGAACAAAATATAGTATGCTATAATAGCGTCTACTGCTCCGGTGATCCCAATCAATATATCTGTTTGAAGTGTCTACTATCTTGTTATTCTTGACATTTTAGTGTGATTGCTGAACCCTTTTACCCCGCGAAAACGGCCCCCAACCAAGGGTGCCTGGGGCGCCTCTCGAAGCTGCTGAGGAGTGATTGAGAGACTTTCCGGCGATTCGGAGCTCGTACCAATGCATATAGCTAGCTTAGGGTCACATTATATTGCAATTAATATTGTGCAAATTATAATCCAAGTCACCCTCGGCTCAGCCAGCTCAACTGACCTGCCCAAGCCACCTGAGCAGTCCCTCAGCAGTCCTTGAGCAGTCCTCGAGAGCCAACCTCAGCAGTACCCAATTAGCTAGTAAGGCGCAGTATGCTAAACATTGGCTTATCGTTTATTATAGCATGCTTGTAAAGTTTTGACGATTATCCTCAGAGGCCCCTTTACGCTCCTAACGATCTTAAACTAGGCACTTATAAAAATAGATTTGTATTATCTTATAATTATTACTTATAATAATAAGGCATAACGAACATGCAACTACCCGAAAATTCCCACTTAGGATGGATTAATCGTGTCCGTTTCGTCAAAAAGACAAGGGTACTGTTCCCAATGACAGTAGACACAACTTTAATCAAAAGAACCTCGAGGTGACATATCAAGATCCAGCGGCCAAGCGTGGCCTTCTCAACCTCTTTACGTTCCTCAGACCGGGGCTCGTCTACTGAGGCCCACAGCTAGCTAGCGGACAAATCCGAGAAGCGAAAAGTGATTTTCTGATTTTCTGATTTTCGCACTGGCGCCCCGCACACCCCCCCTCCTCCCCAAGGCAGAATTCCTAATTAGGGGTATAGCACCCACACGTGACTTTCGGCTTGGATAACGCAATAATAGTAAGGCTACTTGCTTATCTAATTAATGAAGTGAGAGCCCATACTACCGCGTATGAAATCGTACCAAAATTAGGCCGGATAGTATAATATAAAATTAAGTATTTATTATAAATTACTATAGTCAGGTAACTATAGGCTATAAGCCCTTCTAGGATAATGCTATTAATAGGGTCTAATAACTTCCTTAATATTCCCGAGATTAGAAATAAGAAAATTAAACTATTAAAATAACTAAGAAGCCGGCTAATTACTTTTTTTAGTAATTAATTAACAAAATTATATAGGAGTAATATTACTTGAGTTTTTTAGTACTTATATTACTAGAAAATATATTATAATAGTAAAGCATAAAATAACTTAGTGGATTTTATTAAAATAATACTATAACTTTTAATAAATCTATTACTATATTACAAAGCTATTACTAAATAGGCTTATATAAATATTAATTAAGAAGAAATTACAAATAGATTAAAAGATTTATATGGAATCTTAGTTAATCTATATATGGTCTAATAGTAACTATAAGAATAAAATATCTAAATATATACTTAAATAGTAAATATGCCTTTCCTTTATATATAGATTATAATCCTATATTATCTAGGAGATATAGATAAGGAAATACTTAAGGATCTTGAGAATTATGGTTATATAGCTTTAATTACTAGAGTTATCCGTATATATAAGAAGCTTAGTCTTATTTACTATATAACTATAATAGACAGGCAAGCGGCAAATAAGTAACTATTTATAATACTATAGAGTAAGCTAAATAATAGGCGGGTTATAGGTTATAAACGGCGGTATTTATATATATACTTCTATTAATAAGGTTTACTAGTAACCCGGTTAGTCTTTCTATACTTTACTATTTTGCCCTAGCTTAAAAGGTTAGGGCCTTATTTACTAATATATTTTATTATTTATAGGGAGAGCTTATATATAATATTATAACTCCTGGATCCCGAGGTAATTATACTATAAATATAATAGATATAGTTCAAGAAGAGAGAATATATTATACCTGGGCCGGACTGGATTTAATTAATTAATAGATATAATAAGCTATTACTATTTAAAATCGAGATATATACTTATATTAATACTTATTTACGTAATATTATCTGGGTATATATCGGAATCTCTAATTAGACTACTCATTTAGTTATATAGTAATATCTTTAGATTTGTACTCAAATAGGCTACTACCCTTACTTTTTTAGGGCTAATTAAGGCTCTAAACTCCCCCTTATTACCGAAATATACTTTATATTCTCGTAAATAGCCGATTCATTAGTTATATATATAGAAGACTACTTTATTTCTGGGAAAAGCACCGAGAATTAGCGAGTTAAATCCTAGTAATAGGAGCTTTAGAAGAGCTAGCTATACCAGTAATACGTAAGTAATTCCGTTTCCCTATATCTACCTCTTATTTTTTCTATTATTAGGAGAAAGTATTAGATACTAATAATTATACTACTTTTTATTAAGGCTATTAGGTCTAGTATTATAGTACCGGATTATATAACTAATTCTAATTAGTATATATAGAACTACTTTTAGGAACTGGCCTATACCAGGGATTATAATTACTAATACCTATAGGACCGGATTACTTTACTAGTACTTTATATATAGCGGATTCAAAACAAGATATATAGGTTTATAGACTTATAAAATATCTATAGGATTAGAAAAAACAGATCTAGGCCTAATATAGTAGCCGGCAAGCCATTTAGACTATATATGAGGCCCCTAGACGGGATATAGTACTAGGGTCACCCTATAGATATAGAGCTTTATAATATAATCCTTAATAATTACTTAGTTTGGGATAAGTAATATAACCTCACATAGCTTTATATAAATAGTTTACTTATATACTAATATAGATATTAATGAGTTTCTGCCAAGAGAAATACTAGAGTAGTACTATTAGAAGCTTATATCTTATAGTATAAATATAGCTAATATTTATATAGGAGATACTAATAGAAACGGCAACCGACTATATATTTAAGCTTATTACTAGCTCCGATATATAGTCCGGACACATATAGCCTTAGGGCAGTTACTAATATTAGGAGAGTCCGAGAAGCTAACTAGTAAATATAATACTACTATTATATGAAATAGAATCCTTAAATAAGTTATCCTAATAAATATAGAATATATAAATAATATATAGGCCGGAAAAATACCCGTATAGTTTCTAATAATCCAGAACTTTACCCAGAAATAGCCCTTTATTAGTAATACTTCTAATAATATAAGGTAATTAAATAAGCTAATTATAAAATAACTAGGTATATTAAGATAAATATTATTTATTATTAAATATATTATTTTCGAAACCCCCTTCTTATTTTTAAGAATAATACTAATAGAATTATTAAGTTTATCTACTATATAAATATTCTATACCCTTAAATTCTTACCTTTTAAAATAGTACTACTATTTCTCAAAACCTGCCCTAATATTATATACCCTATAGCCAAATACTAGTATAATAATATCTAATATTACAAGTTCTATTAATCTACTAATAATAAATATAATATAGAGGCCGCCGCTTTACTTACCTAGAGTAATAATACTAGTAGACTTAAATCTTATAGCTCTGGAATTCCGTCCGTATCTGCCCCCCTCTTTATATCTGGGATACTTTAGATTCCTAGCTCTTTTTAATATCCTTATCCCGTATCTTTTCTTCTAGAAATATTTACTATACTTATTCCTCTAGTTACTATTACTATATAGCCGCCAGGTACTAGTTCTACTCTACCCCAGGCTTCTCTTACTCTAATAGCCCTATAACTACTTCCTTTTATATTTCCTTTTACTATAAGCCATATTACTTGACCTAACTACTTTTCTAGTAGTACTTATATTACTATATAAGCTTAATAGGCTATAAATACGAGAGTTACTCAGGCTATTACCTAGGCTATAGCTCCTTATACCGGTAATAGGCTATCTAGAGCCCTTTAAAATCTTATGAATTAAAATATAGCCGGATCTAGTCTTATAAAATTACAGACTATAGTTTTATAGCTAGTTTTCCACAAGTAGGCATTTAATAATATAAAGAATTAGAGAGCTAAGTAAAGAACTATCTAACTTTCTAAAGAAGTTAGTAGTAAGTTTTCTCCTATTTCTTTTACTAGATTCTCTATATAAATTCTAATAAATATTTTTTAATAGGTAGCTTTCGATTTAAAATAAATAATTAAGTCTTTTTTATTCTTTCCAATATAGTTTCTTAGTAGCTACTTCCTTATTTCTCTCTTTATATTAGCAGACCTACCCGCTATTATTAATTTATTAATAATATAAATAAACTAGTATTCTATACTAGTTCTAATAGTAAAAGAGCCCAGGAACTTACGGTTTTACCAGGTTCTATTTAAACTATCTTTAACCTTTTCCGCTATAGTATATATCTGGGCCCTAAGAATATCTGAATAATTTTCCTTATTTTATAC